TTCTTGTTTGGAAAGAATGCAGCATTGTTGCTGTGATTTTTTGGTGATAAACCAAAAAATAATGTTCGTCTTTTTCTGAGATCCTGAAAGTATTTTTCTCCCGTGGGGTCCTCATTACCAGAAGAGTGGACCAGAAGCTGAGTGTTAGTTTCATTAGTAGTTTACTGCAATGACCATGCTCTCTCCAAAGCTGAGGAGGAAGGGAAAAAGGATCCTGGCAGACTTTGGAGATTCTGGCTTTTTTTTTTTTTTTTAGTTTTCTGATTCTCTAAATGAGTGTATACTTTTTAAAAAAGTTTTTTTTAATCTAAAGAGAACATGTTCTCTATGCCTAATATGTCCACAATTTTGTAAATAAAATTATTCCCCCCAGAAATGAAGGAAATCAATGACTAGAAGATAACTAACACTTATTTCTGAATGACAGAATTGTATGATGGTTATTTTCCCTCTTTTTTTCCAAATTTTTATAATTGCAAAACTATATACTCAAAACTTAATAGAAAGACAGTGACTGTCTGTATCTTAACTGTAAGATTTCCTTTTTCTATTCAATATGTACTGAAGACTGTATTCTTCAACCTTCATCAGTAGGTGCCTTAAGTCATCCTCACTTTCAGCAAGCAAAGTTGTATCGTTTGCATATCTCAGGTTGTTAATGATTCTTCCTCCAATCCTGATACCACGTTTTTCTTCATATAGTCCAGCTTCTCGGATTATTTGCTCAGCATATAGATTGAATAAGTGTGGAGAAAGAATACAACCCTGACGCACTCCCTTCTTGATTTTAAACCATGTAGTGTCCCCTTGTTCTGTTCGAACGACAGCCTCCTGGTCAAGGTACAGATTCCTCATGAGTACAATCAAGTGCTCAGGGATTCCCATTCTTCTCAATGTTATCCATAATTTGTCATGATCCACACAATCAAATGCCTTTGCATAGTCAATAAAACACAAGTAAACCTCTTTCTGGTATTCTTTGCCTTGAGCCAAGATCCATCTGACAACAGCTATGATATCCCTTGTTCCACGTTCTCTTCTGAATCCGGCTTGAACCTACTGATGAAGGTTGAAGAATACAGTCTGCAGTATGGATTACATCTCAACATAAAGAAAACAAAAATCCTCACAACTGGACCAATGAGCAGCATCACAATCAATGGAGAGAAGATTAAGGTTGTCAAGGAATTCACATTGCTTGGTTCTACAATCGATGCCAACGGAAGCAGCAGTCAGGACATTAGACGACGTGTAGCATTGGGAAAGTCAACTGCGAAGGAACTGTTTCAAGTGCTGAGGAGCAAGGATATCTCCTTGAGGACTAAGGTGCGCCTGACACAAGCCATGATATTTCCAATCACCTTGTATGCATGTGAGAGCTGGACAATGAATAGGGAAGACCGAAGAAGAGTTGATGCTTTTGAGTTGTGGTGCTGGCGAAGAATGCTGAAAGTACCATGGACTGCTAAAAGAACTAACAGATCTGTCCTGGAGGAAGTGCAGCCAGAATGCTCCTTGGAAGCAAGAATGGCCAGACTTCGTCTCACCTATTTTGGTCATGTTGTAAGAAGGGACCATTCCCTGGAGAAGGATGTCATGCTTGGTAGGGTGGAGGGTCGACGAAAGAGGGGGAGGCCTTCAACGAGATGGATTGATACAGTGGCTGCGATGATGGGCTCGAGTATAGCAGGGTTTGTGGGGCTGGTGCGGGATCGGGCAGTGTTTCGTTCTGCTGTGCATGGGGTCGCCATGAGTCGGAAACGACTCGACGGCACTTAACAACAACAACAACATGTACTGAAGATGACAATTCACAGAAATAAACTGCACACTAATTTTATTAGTCAGATAAGGTTAAGCTCTGTTCCTAGAAATCACTAGTTTCTGCTCTCTTTTTGAAATATTTTCTTGGAAATCTGTGTTAAGGTTTAAGGTATGGCAGTTTAGCAAGGGAAATGAAGTTGTTTTAATCTGATGTGAGATGACCTCTGGAAGGGCAGCTGTGTACTGGCAGCCAGCCTGGCATGCCCTACAGGAACCTGGGCACTGGCAGAATGAGTCGAAGATAGAGAAGTGCATTAGGTTGGGTAAGGGGAGACAGCTTCAACAAAGATTCAGCAGTACACTGTCTTACACCTGTCTCATTAGGAGGCTGAAGTAAGCATTTTAGGTCTATGGCAGTTCTGCCCCGACATGGTCCCTTCTGTTGGGTTGCTCTGCCATTCCCAGGGCATTTATTAGCTAAGCAGTTGAGGGATAACCAGGAAGTCTAGCAGCTGGCAAAGGAAGAGAAAGTGAAGGCTAGGGCAAGGGGTTTCGATTTAACCAAGTGATGCCAAAGTGCCCACAGTCCTTCTGACGACATTCCACTGAGGAATAGTCACAGGCTATATCCAGCATGAGAAGCAGAAAAAGTGGCTTTAACTGAACTTCCTGGTGCTCTGGGAAGAGTAAGGAAGCAAGTTTAGGGCCCAGCCAGCAGTTCCCACCCCAAGGGCTTACTTTGAATCGCACATATACAGTATCTTCAGTCATGTCCCTGTGCCCATCTTCATTGGTTGGGCCAGTGAACAGGGGTAGATATTTTGTTATTGTTTTTGTAAAAATGTATACAGCACAACATTTGCCAATTCATTTTTTATGTGCAAAATCTAGTGATAATAATTACAGTTATCATTTTGTGCAATTATCACCCATAATCATTGCCAAATTTCTCATCACCATAAAAAAAATTCATTCCAACTGAACACAGGTAGATTTCATAAGGAGGAGCAAGCTATTTGCTCTTAGAGTCAGGGCAGATCTTGAACATTCTTATTAAATGTCATGGCTTGGAAATCTTTAGTTGTTGTTATTTGAAGTACTTTATAACTATTACTTGAGACTTTTAAAAGTGTGGCTAATTATAATGTTGAAGTAATTTTTCAAATGTTAATGTTAAATCTTGCTCCCAGTGACTCTTCCTCTGAATTTAAGAAGCAATGATACGGACTTGTTTGGTTGATATTTTATTATGGTAAAAATATATGTAACAAAGCATTTGACATTTCAACAGTCTTCACATGTACAGTTCTGTGATATCAATTGTGTTCATCATGTCATTCACCCGTTAGTGGGTGATTTTTTTTTTTTGGCCCAGCCTTCTAGTGGTGGCCCTAGTGAGCTGTGAATCTGTTACCAGGTCAGCTGCAGGAAAGGGAGGGCAGATTGTGAGACAGGAAGCCGTTCCAGGACACACTTAAGTCTGCAGCAAACCAACCATACTCTTTTACTAATGATATTCTTTACTATGAGTTAACAATGTATGCAAAGGAGTGTAAAACATCCTAGGTATATATTGCTTTAATTTAGGCCAATGTTTATGAAATATGGAGTTGTTTAAATATTTGTATATTTCTTCTTGTTTTGAAAGAATACAGCATTGTTGCTGTCATTTTCTGGTGATAAGCTAAAAAATAATCTTAATCTTTTTCTGAGCTCCTGAAAGTATTTTTTTTTTTTCCCATGGGGGCCTCATTAACAGAAGAGTGCACCAGAAGCTGAGCATTAGTTTCGATATAATCTCCACTATCCAGGTAGTAAGGAGCTCTGGTAGCATAGTGCCTATGGCATTTGACTGCTAACTAGAAGGCTGGTGGTTCAAACCCACCAGCCACTCCTTAGAAGGAAGGTTGGGCAATCTACTTCCATAGTGATACCACCTCAGAAACCCAAGGAGGGGTCACTATAAATCAGATCTGACTTGAGGTCAGTGAGTTTGTTTTTGGTTTGGTATCCAGGTAGTAAGCTACTTACCTAGTTATTTGTCTTTTTTCATACTTCTTATAAAATGATAAATTTAAGAAGATTGTGTCTCATCAAGATCAAGAAAAAATTTTGGGCTTTCAAATGATTTTCCATGAGCGGTGGATGAATGGAAAACATCAATATTGTATATTAGATATCCTAGAAGATCGGTGAAGACCTAGAATTTCTGCTACTTTGAGTAACTATTTTCTCAGTCTTGTTGATGGAATTTGGTTGCAAAAATTAACACCATTTTGTGGTCACTGCTTGGTCACAGCCAGCTACCCAGAGGGACCAAGTAGTTGAACCTGTGGGCTTGGGACCATAGTCACAGGGGACATCAAGCTC